AGAGAGTGGAGATGGGGTAGAGGGCGGGAATAAGGGAAGAGGGGAAGAAAGGAGATGAGGAGGAAGGAGATAGTTGAAGAGAAGATCAGGGAAAAGAGAGAGAGAGAAAGAGAGAGAGAGAGAGAGAGAGAGAGAGAGAGAGAGAGAGAGAGAGAGAGAGAGAGAGAGAAAGAGAAAGAGAAGAGAAAAGAATGAAGGATGATTGACAAAATGAGATGAAATAGATCTCAACTAAAAACACGATAATAACGATGATCCAAAGAGTAAAGAAGAAAAGAAAAGATGAAGACAAGAGTTCACCCCATCCCCCCCCCAAAAAAAAAATACAAGAAAAACTGAATAAATAAAAAAAAAACCCCTCCTCCCCCCCCCCAAAAAAAAAAAAAAAAAAATACACGATAAGGAGAACATTAAAAAAAAACAATAACAAACAACATCAAAACTAGAAAACAAAGACACGAAAGGGAAGGCATTAAACCAGAGTTAAAAATAAATAAGAGCAAGACAAGGAGTAAACCGAAGGAAGGCTGGACGAAACTGCTGAGACGGCCCGCCAAGGAGCCCACGGACGGGACAGCGTCAGTCAGCGCCATCGGACGGCAGATAAACAAACTAGCCTGCTGTAAACATGCTAAAGAATAACACGACGTCCTGCACTCTCGCGTTTTTAAGCCCATGTACATTAATCTTTTCCCCAGGCACTTAGTACCGCTGCAGGTCCTCGGGGGGTCGGGCGTCGGGGATAGGGGATGGGGAGGAGGGGAGGTGAGAGGGCGTGGAGAGGCTATGGGTGGTGGTGATAGGGCGTTTGGAGGGAGCGGGAGATGAGAGATGAGTTTGGGGGGGAGGGTGGGGGGGGCTGAGAGAGAAAGGATGAGACCTAGGGGGGGGGGGGGGTTGCTATTGTAGGCCTGCTTTACGGTTTAATTTTTTTTTTTAAGGAAGTTGATTGTTTAACAGATGTATTAATACACACACCCAGGCGCACACACACACACACACACACACACACACACACACACACACACACACACACACACACACACACACACACACACACACACACACACACACACACAGGCACCTCCCGCCCTTAGCACCTCTGACCCCAACCTTCTTCCGCCCACGCCCGCAGTACATGAAGCAATCTCTCAAGGCTTGCAATTGCGGGCGGGCGGACGCGACAGCCAGCACTTAACGCACACGTGTAGCGGCGTGGATAACATCTCGCCGACATGCAGGCCCGTCATACCTCCTCGTCGCCGACACATGTTCCAGCAGCCGCAGAGACATTTGCATACCCTTCCTCGGTAGGCGGTGCACGCGCGGGGGCCGTGGTGTTGGGGGTGTGGGGGTGGGGGTGGGGTGGGGAGGGGGGCTCCTGCCTTTCTGGATCATTTCCTACTCTCTCTCTCTCTCTCCCTCTCTCTCTCTTTTTCTTTTTTTTTCTTTCTCTTTCTTTCTCTGGTTGATTTTTGTCTGTTTGTTTGGGTGTTTGTATCTGTCTGTTTCTCTCTCTCTCTCTCTCTCTCTCTCTCTCTCTCTCTCTCTCTCTCTCTCTCTCTCTCTCTCTCTCTCTCTCTCTCTGTCTCTCTCTCTGTTTCTCTCTCCCTCTCTGTCTCTCTCATTATCTCTCTCTCTATATCTATCTATTTGTATCTCTCTCTCTCTCTCTCTCTCTCTCTCTCTCTCTCTCTCTCTCTCTCTCTCTCTCTCCCTCTCTCTCTCTCACTCTCTCGCTCTTTCCCTCCCTCCCCCCTTCCCTCCCATTCTCTCTCTCTCTCTCTCTCCCCTTTATCATTCGCCTTTTCCTCCTGCATCCCTCGCCCTCGTAGACAAAACCCAGAGTCGGGAGCGAACAATGGCGACAGTGAGGCTGACAGGAAACAGCACGACCTTGAGAGGAATCCACAATGGGCGGGAAAGGCTTCCCTTGAGGACAATTTGCGGCGTTCCGTCTTGGTTCTCCGTGTGCCGCTTATCACCCTCCCTCACGGCGGCTGGATGATTCTCTTTATTTAATTGCGTTTGGGATATATATATTTTTTTCCTATGCGTCGGCGAAGGTTGATATTTCAATTGGAAAGGTTTATGCTCGGTTTTCGGATTTGATTTTGTTCGGTTCTTTGGTGGTTTGTAGATTATTTGAGATTTATGTCTTTTACACATTATTATCTCCCTTATGTTTATGTATTTACTTTGTCTTGTTCCTCTTGGAGTTGTCTCCTTAAGAGCAACAAAAAGAGAGTGTCTAGACAGTGACTGATGCCGCAAAAAGCCCAGAACAAAGACTAACCCTTTTTCTCTCCCTCCCTCGCAGCAGTACGGGTCCTCTGAGGGTGCCTACGACCCCGGCTGTGACCCATCGCCCACCATGCCTCAGCTCCACGACCACGCACACGCCCACGACCAGGCCAGCGCCCACGAGCAAGCACCGCTCACGCCTTCGTCCTCCTCCTCCTCGTCCAACTCGTCGGCCGGATCCTCGTCTTCGGGTGGCCCAGCGTCCTTCGTCAGCCCCTGCAGCGACCGCGGCAACAACTACGTCTCGCCGGGATCGGACGCGGGATCCACGGGTGAGGAAGAGGGCGTGGTGCCGCCGCCCGCCCGTCTCTTGTCCTGGGTTGCCTGGGGGGGAGGGGGGAGGGGGGAGGGGGTAGTACTAGCGGATTATCGTGGAAATGCATGTTTTCTCTTGGTGATATTCTGTAAACATACAATAAGATTTTATAGTTATAAGATCACAAGACACGGGATATATACAAAAAAGAAAGATAATTCACATAAATACATAAATAAATAAGCAATAAAAAAAATACATAAACTGGCCATAACACGTGCATTACAGAATTTATGAATGTTTATTACAGTAATAACTTAATTAAACCGTTGTCATCATTCTATGCATGTAATACCACATCCTGCGGGAACGGTTAAGAAGAGATGTTTAATCCCTATAAAAAGCCTTGTTACCTTCTCGCACAGAAGTTATTAAGCATTCAGCGGCCGGGGTAGTTTATGAGCGCCGTGAACTTTACTGTCCGATATTTTATATTATCATTGTGTTGGTCCCATTAACGTATTGCATTCGTGGTCGTATTAGTTAATTTTACACGTTCTTCCTCCAGCTTTCTTTCTTTCTGTTCTCTTTTGTTCTTTGTCATTTTTTGGTGTATATATATATATATATATATATATATATATATATATATATATATATATATATATATATATATATATATATATATATATCGGTTCGTCTATATCTGTCTGGTCTCTTTTTTAATCCTCGTTTTTTGTCGTAGTTTGTTATTTATTCTCCTGTCTTCATTTCTTTTTTATTAAGATCCACACTCTCTTTGTTTATCTTTTCTCAGTCCTTTCACTTTCTCTCTCTCTTTCCCTTTCCTCCTAGTTTCTTATATATTTCCACTGCCATGCGTTCATCATCTTCATTTTCCCTTAAATTGTTTTTTTCCTGCCATTGCTCTCTCTCTCTCTCTCTCTCTCTCTCTCTCTCTCTCTCTCTCTCTCTCTCTCTCTCTCTCTCTCTCTCTCTCTCTCTCTCTCTCTTTCTCTCTCCATGTTTCTTCCTAGTTTTCTCCTCTGTGTTTATCCTCTGTGTGACTAGCCCCTCCATCCTTCTCCCTTCTCCCCATTTCCGTCCTCATCCCTCTCCATCTTCGTTTATCTTTTCCTCCTTTTCTCCTCTTCGTTTAGGCCCCCCCCCCCTTTCCCCCATCGATCCCGAGGGCAGCCTCTAATGACCCCCCCCCCCTCCTCGCGGCCAGGAGCGTCGGCGGCCGCGAATCCTGAGCGTCCTTCAATTGCCAACTTGGTATGCACGATTCATAACCACAGCGTCTCATGAGGCCACAATATAGGCCATAAAGCCGCTTTTATACAGCCGGCCACGCAATTAGCTACTGGCCATCAGTTATGCTACGATACTTTCTGGACTTGCTAGCTATCAACATGAAGTTTTAAGGAGATTAACCCCCTCCCGCCCTTTGCCTCCGAGAGTGGGATCTCCTAATACGAACAGAAAGCGAGTGTCTTCGCCCCTTTTCCCGAGCCTGGAGACTCGCGGGCGAGGTGGGTGGGAACGTGGGCGGAGATGGCGCATTTGCACCCGTTCGTTCGTCCTATTCGTCTTGCGAGTGGACACGGGGACGGGAGGCCTAATTAGGATTTTCTTTCCATTCCCCGAGGGAGGCGAAAGTCATGGCCCAGATGAAGAATATGACAAGGATCCGAGGAAAATAAAGAAGCTCGTGAGGACCTGTTTATGGGCCGAAGACGCGAGTATGGGCAGGTGTAAAGCATGAGGGACGAGACAGGTCGGGCCATTACGCGAGCCCGCTTACACGCGCGTTAAAGTCCTGCATTCGTTACTGATCGTTTTATAACGAGCGGGCTTTTGGGCCTGACTTTATTTTCGTTGCCCTTTTTGCTGATCTGGGCTCGTTACTCGCCGGGATGGCCCTTGGCGCGGATTATTAAATTTTATCCGAGTCATTTGCCACTTGAAGTTCAAGGTGTGAGAGTTCTTTCGACGTTTTTGCTTCTTCATTTTAAAATGTGCGTTTTATCGCCTTCCCGGGAAAGAAAAAGGCTCGGGGCCCCGCACGCCTCGGCCGCCCCGCCGACGCGCTCTAAAAATCCCTCCCGCGGCGCCGTCGAGAGGCCTCCGCCCTTCCCTCTCCCGCGCCTTCCCTAACGACGCGTCCTCTCCGCTCCTCAGGTATCGGATCCCCAGGGACGGGCTTATCCTCCGGCGGCGGGATCTCGAGCATCTCCTCGAGCGGGGAAGGCAGCAACGAGACCTCCTTCTGCGCCGGCTGCTCGGAGAGGATCGTCGACCGATTCTACCTGCTGGCGGTGGAGCGGAAATGGCACGCCGGCTGCCTGCGCTGCGTCGCCTGCCACACCTCCCTCGACGCCGCCGTCACCTGCTTCGCCCGCGACGGACACATCTTCTGCCGGGAAGACTACCACAGGTGAGTGCCCTGGCCTGAGACGAAGTGGCTCAGTTATGAGGTTTTCGGGTGTTTTGTTCTGCGCTTATGTTAGTCCGTCTGAGGCTGAAAGCTATGGTCATGGACAGGCCTACACTGTGATATATATATATATATATATATATATATATATATATATATATATATATATATATATATATATATATATATGTGTGTGTGTGTGTGTGTATGTATATAAATATATATATATATATATATATATATATATATATATATATATATATATATATATATATACATACATATATATATATATATATATATATATATATATATATATATATATATATATATATATATATATATATGTGTGTGTGTGTGTATGCGTGTGTATGTGTGTGTGTTTATATATATATATATATATATACACATACGCATATTTTTTCTTTACAATATGTATATAATCTTACATTCGCGCCACAATCTTCTATTCATCATCATTATTACCATGAGGCCGCTCCTCCCCCGCCTCTCCTCCCGCCGCCTCCATCTATTCTCACATATATTCTCACAGTCCGCATAACTTAAAACCTCCAGCGCAAGATATTAACACAGCTCTTCACGAACGCCACTCGATCATGTCCACGTCAGCGCACCGCTCGCCCGACTCGCTTCTGGGGGCTTCTTGCTCCTTCGTCGCCATGGCAACGCTACTCAACCCGACTTCTCCATTACGACTTGTAGTGTTAGTCATTTGCATTTTTCCTCTCGGGTCGTCCGATCAACTATAGCTATACTGAGTGAGTTTTTTTTGCGGGTTTGGTATAGCTTCTCCCTTCCCCCTCAACCCCACTGCCATCGTATTAAATGAAACGGGCTGCTCATCCGTAAACAATAATTCAAAACCCAGGAAACGGCACCTCCGGAATTTTAACAATCACGGACCGTACATTTTCAGTTCATTAAAAGATTGAATATTCCCTACGAACTAGATCCGAGGTTGTAAATACTAGTTAATGTGAATTGTTTACGACGGTACCATCGGCCGGGAGAGAGCTGAAGCGCGGCGTGTCCCCGGCGTCTCCGAATTCCAAAATAACCCCCGGGAAATGCACGGGGCCGGTAGCCGAAGGTGGCGCCGGCGATGGTAGGCCGCTCTCCTGAAGGAACGAAGGAAGCGGAGGCACGCCGGGTGTGATAACCTAATCGACATTCCGGTGATATTCAAATGGAACGAGACAATACCTTGGGGAATGCGGTAATGTTGCGGCTGCAGATGGTCGGGCGGAGTGGAGGTGTCCTGAAAGTGATCGAGATAATGAAAAATGAGGAAACGAAGACAAAACGGTTGATATCAGTAAAAGGATCTGGCGGAGTAAAAGCGACGATCTTGGAGCGAAACCTCGGTAGAGTGTCAACTCATTTGTGAATATTCCCGTCGAGATTCTTTGTCGTTGTAGAACAATGTGTACTACCAGTCGGAGTTCGCGACCGTCCTTATACGTGGAAGCAATATCTTTCGCGCACTGATATTACGCTCTGTAAAATGCACGGAAGCGCTGTGTAAATTGAGAGACCGGGGCTATAAAATGATTTCGCCTTCGTATCGATTTAATCCAAATTTGGCAACTGGATCTGCCCTTTGTGATAATGATATAGACATTAATGGACGCGTATAGATTCCTGGGACTCCAGGGCTTATATACAACCTGCGCCGGGACGAGGTAGGTGGCGCTGGAGGAGCCATTTGGGCCTCTGTAAAGTCCGACTCGAATGGCGGGATTTCGCGCGTCCGAGCGTGCGACTCGCAGCCGAATCGCCGAACCCCGGCTTCGCTGGCCTCGAACTCGGCTTCCAGGAAAATAAAGAACTTGAACCTGGGTTGGGGTGGGGGGGGAGGTGTTTGTTGAGGGGGAGATTATCTAACTACTTTTCCCCCAAAATGGAAAGGGTCTACGGTGCAGCCACGGTTTCCAGTATCACGGTATCACGCGGGAAAATCAGACTGTCACTAAGACAGGAAATGACACATGAACTGAAAGTGTTACATTGTGAATCGCGGGTAACTCGATACTTTGGTGGGATGAATGGTAGGATTATATAAAAAAAATTCCCCGTTCTCTCTCTCTCTCTCTCTCTCTCTCTCTCTCTCTCTCTCTCTCTCTCTCTCTCTCTCTCTCTCTCTCTCTCTCTCTCTCTCTCTCTCTCTACCCTCATCCACCCTCCGCCCGCACACAGTATAAAAAAATGTCAACAACAATAAAACAAGATACAACAATTTCCTCTGCGCTCAGAAAGCCACTAGTCTTTATAAGCTATCAGAGGAACATGACATTTCTTCCCTTTATCTTATTCTTTCTAGTTTCCTTAGATTCCCCCTCCCTCCCTATCTCTCCCTATTCTTCCTCCCTCCTTACTCCTTCCCCATTTATCTCCATCTCTCCCCGTTCCTCCCCCTCCCTCCTCATCCCTCTCTATATATCTCTCCATATTCCTCACCTCCCTCCTTCTCCCTCCCCATTCCTCCTCCTCCTTCCCCACTCTTCCCCCTCCCTCCCCTCCCTCCTTCCCCACTCTTCCCCCTTCCTCCTTCCCCACTCTCCCCCTCCCTCCTCATACCTCCCCATCTCTCCCCCTCCTTCCCTCCCTCCTCATACCTCCCCATCTCTCCCCCTCCTTCCCTCCCCACTCTTCCCCCTCCCCACTCTTCCCCCCCTCCCCACCTTCCCTCCCTCCCCACTCTCCCCCCCCATCCCCCCCCCCCCTTCCCTTCCCACTCCCTCCCCACTCCCCCCGCAAGAGTATTCCGCATTCGTGGCAATCTCCTCACAGGCCGGTCGGTCCTTAGGCAGTCGCTCCCATAATAAGAGTGGACCGAAGTCAGGCTGAAAAATAATACCTTTAAACGCGCGTGAAGAGGTGCAGGGATGGCGAAGGGGCAATAAAGATCGGAGATAAGGGCGGTAGCCGATGTTGGAGGGGAGGAGGAGGAGGGAGGAGGGAGGAGGAGGACGAGGAGGAGGACGAGGAGGATGGGGTGGGGGATGGGGTGGAGGATGGGGAAGGGGGAGGGGAAGAGGATGGGGAGGGGGGAGGGGAGAGGAGGATGGGGAAGGGGGAGGGGGAGAGGGATAGGGAGGAGGAAGAAAGGAGGGGTGATAGGGGAAGAGGGAAAGGATAGGGAGGATAGGGTGGAGGGGGAAGAGGAGAAGGAAGAAGAGAAGGAGAGATTCAGGAGTATGTGAACGTCTGGATGATATACATATATATATATGTATATATATATATATATATATATATATATATATATATGTATACATATATATATATATGTATATATACATATATATATAACATATATATCCATATATATATGTGTGTGTGTGCGTATGTGTGTGTGTGTCTGTATATATATACATGTGTGTGTGTGTGTGTATGTATGTGTGTGTTATATATATATACATATATATATATATATATATATATATATATATATATATATATATATACATACATACATACATGTATATATATATTGATATTTATGTATTTATATATATATATATGTATACAAACACACACACACACACACACACACAGACATACACATACACACACACACACACACACACACACACACACACACACACACACACACACACACACACACACACACACACACACACACACATACATATATATATAATATATTATATATATATATAATCATATATATGTATATATATGTATATGTATGTATATGTATGTATATGTATGTATGCATATATATATATATATATATATATATATATATATATATATATATATATATATATATATATATATATATATATATAAACTTGTATATATGAATATATATAAAAACATATATGTATATATATATAAATATATATATATATATATATATATATATATATATATATATATATATATATATATATATATATATATATATATATATATAGAGAGAGAGAGAGAGAGAGAGAGAGAGAGAGAGAGAGAAAGAGAGAGAGAAGAGACGTCTGGACGCGCGGTGACGAAAGCCCTTCAGCTGGAACTGAATCGCAAATTTCTCCGGCGATGAACGAAAGACCGAAAATACATTCCTCATAATAAATAAACCAAACACCAAAGATCTTAAAATGCAGAATTAGAATCCCGAAAAGAGAGTGACGGACCGCGATTTTCGATGTCTTCCCCCCCCCCCCCCATTAACCCCCCCCCTCCCCCCCCACACTCTACTCCGCCCATCCCGCCCACCCCGTCCATCTGCCTCAAAAAATCGCGTCTCCGTTGACAATGGCGTAACGCGTCGGTAACTCCGCCATGGAACTCCCACGTCGCGGCCGGTTATCTCACAAGATGGCGTTGCTTTCCTTCCTTCGCCTTTTCCGCTTTCTTATTCTTGTTGTTTTTTTTTTTTATCTTGGTTTATTATATTATCATTTGATTTATTTTCGTGATGGGAAATTTTTGCATTGTATAGTCTTAATATTATGTTGTTGTTTTTCACGACAGGTTGATATAATCCAACGGTCGTGTCTTCGTCTGAAGGTATTTTAGCGTTAAGCAAAGAGAGTGATTAAGGGATAAGGCCATTCGCTACGAAAATACGCAGAAATATACCCATACTGAGATTCTTTCAGAGGAGGAAAAAAATGTCCCGCGTAAGTGATGATGCGCGTCGGGCGTTCGGTGATATGCAAAGTGATCGGGTCTCGGACTCTGGACAAGGCGGGCAATGTTTCGAACGCATTAGTGTGGACGGGATAAGTGCCCCCTCTTAGTCTTTCTTCTCCTCCTCCCCCTCCCCCTTCCTCTGTTTTTTCCTCTTTCTTCTTTATCCTCCTTCGTGATCTCCTTTTCTTCTTTCGCCTCCATCTGTTCTTCTCCTCTTCGCCCTCCTCTCTCTCCCCTACACCTCTTCTTCCCTCTTCGCTCTCCTAGTCTTCCCTATTTCTCTTCCTCCCCCTTCCTTTCACTTCTTCCCTCTTCGCTCT